TACGATTCTATTGACCGCCAGAAACTGTATAATATTCTAATTGAGCAGGGGATTCCAATAAAACTAGTAAATCTAGTCAGGATGTGCTTGACGGAGACACTCAATAAAGTTAGAATCGGTAATAATTTGTCCGAAAAATTTGAGGTTCGTTCGGGCTTAAAACAGGGGTATTCCCTTTCGCCTGTCCTGTTCAATTTGGCATTAGAACATGCCATTAGGGAGGTAATGCGAACCGAGAAAGGGTTGGATCTGGGCGGGACAACATCCGTGCTGGGCTATGCTGATGATCTGGTACTGTTAAGCGAAGACGTTGAAACTATAAAACTAAATACGACAACGTTAATGAAAGCCGGTAAAGAACTAGGACTCGAAATAAACGTGGATAAAACAAAATATATGGTTAGCTGCAAAAATGGCGATACTACTGGTGATATCGATATAGATGGTAATATGTTTGAAAAGGTAGATAAATTTAGGTATCTAGGTTCTACGATAACTAGAAAAAACGAAATTGAAGAAGAGATTAAGGTTAGACTGAAGGCGGGGAATGCTTGTTATTTTTCTGTGACAAAACTACTTAGTTCGCGCCTCTTGTCCCGAAACTTAAAAATTAGAATCTATAAAACAATTATCTTGCCTACAGTTCTTTATGGATGCGAAACTTGGCCGCTTACATTAAGGGATGAGCAGCGTCTTAAGGTTTTTGAAAATAAAGTATTGCGTAGAATATTCGGACCGAAGAAGGATGAGTTAACCGGAGAGTTCAGACGGTTACACAACGCCGAATTGCGTGAGCTGTATCCGGGTAATATAATTGAGGTAATTTCATCGCGGCGAATCAAATGGGCTTGTAAAGTTGTTGGGCTTAGTAACGAGAGAATTCCTAAAAGGTTAATATGTGCGGTGCCGAATGGTAAGCGTCCGAGGGGTAGACCGAAGGGAAGGTGGGAGGATTGCATTAAAGCCGATCTGAAGGGACTGGGTTTGGACGCCGAACGGTGGAGGGAGGTGTGTAACAAGCGATTGGTGGTGTCGGCATCGAACCTTGGGGTTCGCTAAGCCTTATTATTATTATTATTATTATTATTTTTACTTTCAGTTACCTATGTTTTCTTTTAATCGTGTTTGTGTGACTTATTGCTCCAAAATCTGTACAATTGCAATGCTTAGTTGTGATACATACTACTTAAAAATCTTTTAATTCTAAGAAAAGCTATAAAAGCAAAGTCGCTAATAAAAACTTATATTTTTAAAGAGCTACTGTTTTCAAATTGATGGAAAAATTAATGATTAAATTAAATATACTGGTAATGAATCTTAAATATCTCTTTACCAAGGTGGCTCCTAAAAACTTTGAATGACCTTAGACTTCAGGGAATACAAGAATGCAGATGAGTTCCACATTTGTGAATTACGTATTTAATATTTGTGATTATGAAAATTTCACGAAATGAAACAATTCATATTACTGTATGTATATACGCATTAAATGAACATGCTTGTGTAATTAAAAAGTATGTTTTCAATGCTAACATAGATGGAACAAAAATTCATTGGAAAAATGCAATTTTTTGTTCGTTTGGTGTTAACGAAACCAATTTTTGTTATTAGTCATTTCAAAACTTATTAGAGGAGGAATATAAGAAATTGAGTGAAGTTTGAAAAGTACGTCAATAGAGGGCTTGTACATACTTGAAATTTATTGTGGTCTATGTTTTACTTTTCAACAATAACTAGTTCAAATTGCATGTTTGTGACCCCTTTCCATATATTCAGTGCCTACAAAATTTCACAGACATTTTTATTTTCTTATTATTTTAACTGTTATTTATATTAATTTTATTTGTAAATTGGAATTTAATGAAATTGATACTAGACATTAGACTCTTCAAATTTCTCTAACTTTGTGACAAATCAAGCTAGCTGTTTTCAAGCTATAGGCATGTTAATAACCAAATGTTTGCAGATCTGAAAGCTAATGTACTTTTTTAATGTAATGGATGGAATTTGATAACATTTGTACATACTAGATTATTTGTTTATCAATCCCTTATTTACCTTCAAATTTGGGCCGAATTGAACAGGTGGTTTTCGAGTATAGGTGTTTCAAGAAAATACGTTTGCGCATTTGTATTTTTTTTTCATTTTTTTTTGTGTTGGCCATGAGCACGTCGACCCCTAATGGGTCCCTAACTTCTGGGGAGATCCATTCGTTCCTCCCCAAATACCACCAGTCTCAGCCTTGTAAATCTATCACATCTGCATAGGATGTGAAAAGCTGTTTCATTCTCCTCCTGACAGAATCTGCATAGCGGATTCGTCATTACTCGGAGATTGAACATATGGTAGTTTAGCTTACAGTAACCTGTATAGATTGCTGTAAGCTTTTTAAGGGCTGCTCTGTCCATATTCAGTAGCAGTTTACTTCTTTTTTCACTTGGACCTTTAAGGAACAGCTTCGAATGTCGCTGTTTCTTGTCGGTCCAGTAATTACTAAATTTGTTCCCATAAATCTCTCTGATCCTACCCTTTGCAATGCTGAGGCTGATTCCACAGACAGGCTCGGGAGTTACAGGAATGGTATCTGAGCCCAATCTGGCTAGTTCATCAGCCACCTCGTTGCCTGGTATGCCAGAGTGACCAGGCAACCACTCCACTGCAACTCTATTGTGCTCAGGTAGTTCGTTAAGTGCTGTGTTGCATTCCTTAACGACCTTTGAATAAACGTAATAGTTGTTAATAGCACCTATTGCTGCCTGACTGTCGGTATAGATAAACATTTGCGCATATGTAAAAGAAAGTAGCAATGAATGGAATTCAGTAAGATTGATATAGTATCATTTTTTCACCAACATCCAACTTTCTTCTAGCTTTGTTCTAAGTTGAATGGGCCATTTCTGAAATATAGGCTTATCTAAGAAAATAAATTTATGTGTTTGTCAGCAAAAGTATATGGTGGAATTTGATAATATTTATATGGAACTGTCTAGACATTAACCCGCTCGATCACTGAAACTTTCATGAAAAATGTTGGTACTTGATTTACCCATCACATGGAGTTAACTACAGACAAACATGGAACCAAATTTGTTCCTTGAAATCTAAAAGATAATATGCGAGTTGAAATTAACGATTCTGAGCACATAAAATGTTTTAATCTTACTTATGAATGTAAGCTTTCCTTGTGAGGAAGTGGTTTGAACTATTCTTATTTTGGACAATTTAACTTTTTTGACAATTTAAAACTATTCAACCGCTTAGGAAGAACATTAAATAATTGAAACATTTAAATCATAAATGTAAGTGCTCAACAGACCAGCATTATTTAGCTCACATTTTTCTTTATTTCTGTTTTGAAAGTAGGTGCATAAATACTTTCCTTGAGATTTAAATATAATTTTTAAATCATTTAAGCTGCTGAATATCTATTTTGTGTTTTCTTTTTGAACATTTTATTATTTGGTTCCGAATTAAATTGATAGAAATGTCAGATGTTAGGAGGGGGGAGGAGGGAGTGTGGAAGAAAAAAGTTGAGTGTTCAGAAGGAATTTTTATCACATCAATTGAATTTACAAATTTCTAACTTGATACATTAATTTAGAGGGGCCTTAGAAATGCATAAATCGTTAAAAAGTGAAAGAATTGTTAGTGTCAATGAAACACTTCTCCAATTTCAACTCAATTAAAATATGGAGCGGAGGGAGGGGGGGGGGGGTACCGAGCAACATATAAACAGATATTTTCAATAATTATTATGAGTTCCCGTTCTGGTGCCATAGGGACTTTTGACATTAATCCTCTGCCCTTCCTCCAGAGGAAATAAAAAAAAAAATCTCGATTTAAATACAAAACCTATTTGATATAAAGGGACTCCCTTTAAAAAATAATAATAATAAATTTATATATTAGACATTTCCAGAACTCCCATATGTATATATATATATGTATATGCAGAACAGTACTCGAATATACTTCTGATAAAATAAAATAAAGAGTGTAACATGAGTATAGGTTCCAATAAGAGCTTACATTACACTTTAGACAGTTGTTCTCATTATTGTTGATTTGAGGCGTTTAGTTTCAAAACCGATTTCATCCATTTTCAAAAATGCTTCAGAACCGATCTAAAAAGGTTGTATAGAACCATTTTTGATAGGAAATTGAATGTTTTGGTATCAATTTTTGGAAGATCTAAACAATTTTGATACAATTACATCTAATTTTATACAAATAATCATTAAAACTTGTGAAAAATAAAAAAATATATTTTTTTTAAAATAAATCGATGTAACCTGTTTTGAAATTAAACGGATCATGTGAAACAGAGGTATTTACAGAGAAAAAGATAAAAAAACTGAGTAAAATATAAAAAAAACGGGGGAAATCTGTAATAGAAACCACCTTTTATCATTACACGATGGGTTCAATACTTTTCAGGACTATATTTTACAGAAGAGAATGTCAATTATAAATTTTAATATCTGATATATTGGGATCACTATTTGGAGTTTTATTTATTGTTATTAATAAATTTAAATATGGTTATTTAATCAAATGTGAACTTATTCATTTTATAAGAAATACTAGCAGTATTGATGTCATTGTTTATCATTTTTTGAAGTCTTTTTACTTTTCACATTTTTCTCCTGATTATATATTAAATCTACCTTTTGTCTTGCTCTGATTGATTATTTTCATTTTTCAGAGTAACTAAAAAAATTAAAACGTTTAGATCCGGCTTTTGTAGTCAGACAATGAATTTCAATGTTCTTCCTGTCTAGAATAGTTTTATAACCTATAGGATGATGATTCAATTTAGTCCTAGTGCATTAAATGAGAGTGTGTTATTATTATATAAAATAAAAACAGTTTTATTTATCTTCATTATTGTTTAGGAAAAATAATCCTTGTCACATTGTTAATGGAAAATTAGTTTTTCAAATTTTATCATTATTATCTGTTTTAATGTCAAGTATTTAATTTGAGTTTTTCTTTTACAGGATTTATAAAAGTAGAAAATTCAAATATTGTATTGAATACTGATTTCACCTCTTTGGGCTTCCATTACTTATTTCTTTTGTTGGTTGCCTTGATTGGAGTGATTCTTGGAGCCGTGGTACCATTTTCCGGTTTGCTATTTTGTTGCTGTCGTTGTGCTGGAAAATGTGGTGCTCGCACACAACCTTTTGATAAAAAATATGATATGTGCAAGAGGCACTTTTATGCTTTTATCTTATCGTCTGTCACTGTTGTGATCATGTAAGATGATAAATTTAATTTAATTTCATTATTTGATTAATTAAAGAATATCTTTTTATTATAATATATGTTTTTCCTTATAGGTTTGGGGTAGTTTGTGCTATTGTTACTAATGAATATATGGAAGAAGGTGCTGAAAATTTTCCGAAGACCTTCAGGACTTCATTGAGAGATACAAAACTGTATTTGAATAACACAAAAAAAGTTAGTGCATGGCTTATATTATAAGTAAGACCCAGATTCGATGGTCTTAAATTTTCAAAGATTAGATTGTAAAAATTATTTTTTTATTGAAAAGAGATCTTAAGTCATTTATTAGTAACCTGATGCGATGGATCACACATTTTTCACTCACCATCCGAAATTCCGAACTATGAAAAAACAATTTTTAAATAGTTGACCAACCTTAAGAATATTACTTTAATTATAAATACACACTTAAGAGAATTAATATAAATTATAAAAATTTTGTCCGCTATATATTCAATTTCATTCAATTTTACATCAATATAACAAGCTTAATCAAAATCATTTGAGCCTTTTTGAGGGAATTGTAAAATTGATTATATGAAGTAGCATTTCTGGTTAGTCGATTTTGATAAATTGCTTTAATATTCTAGGTATATTCCAACATTAAATAACTAATTTAACTTTCATTTTAATATGACACACTCTTTTTAATTAGACTGTTCACATTTAGATACACCTATAGATCTTTTGTGATACTTAAAGACTTGCCATATTTGGATTCAGAGGACTCTGAAACATCAGTTTTCATGATCGCAATACTTTATCTCATATATATTTTATAAAAGAATACATAGTGTGAGTAAAAGTAAAAATTGAGCAAATACACTAATATTTATGAAAAATAAATAAAACCTGTATCATTACAATACATGAAGGGCCTAGGGGTGTAGGGTTCTAGAGGTTCAGTATTTTTAAGGAAATAGGTTTTCAAGGCCTTTGTTGTGAGGGGAGGTAATTGGGTAGATATCATGTGAACCTTCAGATTTTCTCTAGGACCATTCTAGGAATCTGATCCTGGGTCATTCTAATTAAATGACCTGCCCATCGAAGCCAGTCTACTTTAATCACCTTTACGATATCTGAGCTCTTGTAGAGTCTTTTTAGCTCAGCATTTATTCTTATTCTCTAGATTCTATTGATTCAAACTGGTCCATAAATTCTCCCCTCTCGAACCTCAGGAGAAGAGCTTCCTGTGTACTAGGTAATGTCCAGAGATATAAATGAGAACTGGTCTTACCAGGGTCTTATACAATCGCATCTTTGTGTTTTGAGAGATAGCTCTGCTCCTGAAATGCTTCAGTTATCCAAAATAGCTTTTATTTACGGACATAATTCTGTGACGGATCTCTGCTTTTATGTCTTTATCTGCGTTTAATTGTGAACCAAGATATACAAATTCCTTCACCCTTTCAAATGAAAAGTTTCCAGCATAAAATGCGATGGTTTGTGCACATCCAGTTGTGGACCTGCTTGCATGTATTTGGTTTTTGATTCATTAATTTCTAAATCTACTCTAGCTGCTGCTATTTGGAGACTGATAAAAACGTTTTCTAATTCTGTAGGGGTTTTCCAACAATATTTAAGTCATCGGCGACAGCCAAAATCGTAGATGATCTATTGAATGTAGTTCCCCTAACTTGTATTCCAGATTTCCCTAATGAACTTTTGAAGGCTAAATTGAAGAGAAGGCATGCAAGACAATCACCCAGTCTGAGCCCTTTGTGGGTTTCAAAGCTATCAATCAGGTCATCCTGAACACATACTGTGCATTGCGTCTTCTTCATCGTAGCCCAATGAGACGTATCAGCTTCAGTGGTATTCCCATTTCTAGATACTCCTGGTACAGCTTGTTTCTCTTTACATTATCATAGGTCATTTGAAAGTTGATGAACAAGTGGTGTGTGTGGATATTATACTCCCTGCACTTCTCCAGAATGATTCTGACAGAGAATATCTGATCTATGGTAGACTTTCCTCTTATAAAGCCTTTCTGGTACTTTCCTATATTCTGCTCGGCAAATTGAAGCAATTTTTTATAAAGTACCCGAGTGAACACCTTCTAAGCACATGGTAAGAGGGATATACCGCGATAATTATGACAATCAAGCACATCCCCCTTCTTGTGAATTGGGCATATAACTGCTTTGTACTATTCACAAGGGATTTCTTCCATTTTCCAGACATCTACTATTATATTATAGAGGAACTTCCTTAATTCTTCTCCTCCATAGTTAAACAGTTCTGCAGAGAGCCCATCTGGTCCCAGTGCTTTATTATTTTTTAGCTCTTCCACCGCTTCATAGACATCTTCCATATAAGGCAGTTCTAATTCTCCTATGGTCATCTCCATTTCTCCTCTTCCTTCTTCTGCCATGTCATTAAGGAGGACATCAAAGTAATGCCACCACTGTTCTAGAACTTGTATCCTTTTTTAATTTAAACATTTTTTCATCTGAGCAATAATTATAAGATTCAATTCTTTCATCCTTATTAATTACTTTAAATTCCTTCTTGTTTGAAAATTTATTTATTTATCTATTTGTTTTAGGAAGTAAATACTCTTCTTATAACCAACTTCGGTGAATTAGATAATGTACTTAGCCGGCTACTTCACAGTAAGTATATTTTGTTACTAATTATTCATTTGCACATTTTGTTGTTTATAATTGCTGTTCAGCTCATGGAAGATGTTTAGAATAATTAATTTAATCTGACAGATGTTTTGTCAAAACTAAAGTAAATGTTCTTTTCTTATATAAGAATATATTTTAATTGAACAGAAGTTGATTGAGGTTTTCATTCAATGAAAGTTCAAATTAAAAATAAGTAAATTATATTTATTTTTATTTCCTTCGTGTTGACGTTTTTGGCTAACGTTTTCAGAGGCCTTCATCTTCATTTGCAAAGCCAAGACAAAATAACATATAAATATTGAGAATATAGTAGACAGTAATAGTAATAATATGTAGGTAAAATCATCTTGTCAAATAATATGTAGATAGTAAAACTTAACATTAATAAATAATAATAATAACAACAACTTTATTTATAGAAAATTTACATATATACAGTGTAATTCAGAGCTAAAGACATTAAAGACAAGAGGGATTAACATTAATCAATATGTGGAATGGTAAATATATGATTTATAAATCAAGGAAGCATAAAGTAATGGTAACAAAGCTGGGACTTATAAAATAGCGCTAGCAAAATTAGAATACATAAGATAACTGCAACAAAGTTAATAACTTATGAAATAAACTTAAGAAATCACTAACTAAAGGAAATAAACAATAATAAAATAAAAGTAACTACTTATTTAAATTAATAAGCTAATGCAAAATTCAATATAAAATAACAGTAATAAAGTTAGGAACTTGTGAAATAATGGAACAAACTTGGATAATTATATAATAAATGTAATAACACTATAAAGTAAACAATAATAAAATAACGGTAAAAACTTAAAGGAATTAACAAAGCAATGAAAAATTAAATAACAAAGAAATAAAATGGAATATTTAGGAGATACAAATCGTAAGTAGTATAAATTAAATAAATAGAGTGAAGTATTACTGTATGTTGATACCTTAATATATTAAGAGAAAGCGAGATAAACATGGCATAATAATAAAAAATAAGAAAAGGAATTTGAAGTTATGTAAAGAAAATAATAAATGTGACTAGGAAAAATAAGGTTTAGTGAAATCTATCGAAACATATTGTACACATAGAAAAAAATTGAGAAATTAAGAGGATAAGATACAATGAGTATAAATATAACAATAAAAGAAAATATTGGCATGTATATGGAAAAGAGTAAGATAAAAAGGTAAGTGAGGAGAATAAGGAAAATAATTGATAAACAATAGGACACACCTGCTCACTTACAGGATATCAGTTGAGTAACAAGAGAAATTAGCGCACTCTGCAAAGGTTGTCACTAAAAATTGTAAACTTAAGGACAGAGACGTAAACTAATGCTTCAGAGGTTGTACTATAGGTACCATGTAATGTGAAGACTTTATAAATGTTTAATTAAATGGGTATGGAAATAGAATGTCCTGAGAAGATATTATAGTTCAGAGACAACACATATTTTATTACAAATATTAAATAAAATAGTCAAGCATTTATGAAATTAACATAAATCTGCATGAAATTAAAGGAAAAAATAAATAATAATTATTACGATATATGTAAGGATTTATCAACAAAAAAATTACAGTGATAATTTGGAATGAAATTGAAAGAATGATAAGTAAACTAGTAAAATTGGATGAAATAGCATTTTTTAAAATAAAAATTTTAGACAATATGAATTTCTGTGACTAGAAAAATTAATGTGGGAACATTGGAAGGTAAAGATATCGATGATGGGAAAAAGCTATGGATGTTTAATAGATTCTGAATTTGGGAATAGGCCAAGAATACATTTTGTTTCTCTGTTTTTAGATTGACTGGTAGAGAGTCGAGGTGGATACAGATGCTTTCAGAGATGAGTCGTTTGTTGTGGTTAAAAAAGGATGTTAGGATGGAAGTTTTGTTGAAATTAAATGTATGGTCTAGGGAAAGGGATAGTTTGAAGATTATTTGACTATACTATTTTACCTACATATTCATATTACTGTCTTCTATTTTCTCAATATTTATATGTTATCTTGTCTTTGCTTTGCTCTGATGAAGGTCTGAAACCTAGGCCTAAATGTCTGCACAAAGGAAGTAACTCAAACTGACTCCATGGCAATACAGACCGGTGTGCTCCTCTGCCGCTTCAATGAGCCCTCGCCAGGTGGCTCTATCTTACGCAGTCGCTTGCCAGTTGCGGATATGCAGTACTTCTCTGGCGTCCCGGATGACAGCGTCCTCCCATCTTAGACGTAGTCTGCCCTTCCCTCTTGTCCTGCAGAGCTTCCCATCAAGCAACTTCCTTGGGACTTTCTCTTCTGGCATTCTGGCCAAATGATCAGCCCAACATAGTTGCCCAAGCTTGATGCACCTCAACACATCTGTCTTCCCATACAGATTATATAGGTCCCTGTTAGTCCTCCTTCTCCAATCATCACCGGCCGGAAGGATCTTCTTTTCAAAGAATAGTTAATCTTTTTCTTCTTTGCTAGAGAGGGTCCAGCTTTCTGATCCATATGTGAGTACAGGCCTAATGAGGGTCTTATATATGAGGCATTTTTTATGACAGGAGATGGCAGAGCTTCTAAGGTGTTTTCTAAGGCCAAAATAGCACCTGTTTTCCCTTATTATTTGCTGGTTGACCTCCAGAGATATTCTATTTCCACAGCTTACAATAGCTCCCAGATATGTATACTGGTCTACATTGTGGAAACGTAAATGGGCCCATAACCACCGGTACTCGTACTGCGGTCCCGGTTTCAGGTCCTGCTCACATATACATTGTCTTTTCCTGATTCACATTCATTTCCAAAGCATCTGCCGCTTCAGCCAACCTTACAAATGCACTTTTAAGAGACTCGAAGGAACGTGTCATCAGATCTAGATCGTCAGCAAATCCCAGTATTTGCATTAATCTGTTAAAGATGGTAGTCTGGATTCCCGAGTCACGTATCACCTTCTCCAGGGCCAGGTTAAACAATAGGCAGGCAACCCCATCCCCCTGCCTAATTCCTCGTATGGAAACAAATTCAGGTGACAGGTCCGATTGTACCCGAACAGTGCACCTAGCATCATCCATAGTCATCTTGATGAGGTGGACAAGTTTCGAGGGAACTCCAAGGTCACGCAGGGCTGCATACTGTTGAGGTCTCTAGATGCTGTACAAATTAAATAAAAATAAATATAATTCATTCGTTTATTTTTATTTAGTATTTTCATTACTGAAAACCTTAACCAACTTCTCTCCAATATATCTTCCTCAGTCAACAATTGTCCAGTACTTTAATATAGTTTAATTAATAGTAAACCGTGGAGTAAAGTAATAACTCCTGGCTCAGAGAAATAGAATGTTATGGAAAGAACAATCATTAGAGTAAAAGTAATTGAATGAATTTTAAAGTTTATTAATTTACAAAAAAAACCCTCTTAAATCTACATTTTTGATAGTCTTGGTTTAAAGTTATTATTTTTTGTTTTTAAGGTGGTATCAATCAGTTGACTTATGTCTTACATTTTTTTATTTTAATGAGGGTAGATGGAACTCTTCAAAAGAGAGATTTCCACCAGCCACAGGACTACCATTAGGCATTACTTCATGAAGAGGGTGGACTGTGTGCCATCTCATTTTTATAGGTTACTTCCTGTCTCGTCTTTCATTTTCCTCATTCCTCAGTCCCTTGATGACCTGTTTTACTAGGCATTGACCCGCCATCCAGTACTCTTGGGAGAGCAGCATCAGTCCGACAATGTTATGGGAATTCAATTCTGATCTGCAGACCTCTCAAAACTCTTCTCTCTCTCCCCTAAAAGCAAAGACAAGAAAAACATAAGACAAACGAAGTGTCCACCTCCTGTTCTATGCCATATTCCAGCGATATTGCCATTAGCCTATCATCTCCTTCTTCCTTTGGCACTGGAAATGCGATCAACTCTGCTGTATGAGCACATCATCTCCACTGCAAGCAGATCTATTGGTGGCATTCTCTGACCACCACACATGCCGCTTCATTTGAAACTGTTTGGAATTTGCTGATCATCCGTAAAGCGTTCAGATGGTTGATTGGTAACATTGCTCTTCTATAAGCCATAGTATCGAGGGTACCTTTCTGTTTTGTGACTGCGCATAGCAGAATGGATGTAAGCACGCTTGATAGCAACAACCTGATGCTGTTCCTGGTTATCCAACATTTGGTATCAGTCAAGACAGGGCTGTAGTCATTCTAGATACCACTCACTGGGTATGATCTTTGACCCTGAGCCTTTCATTGATCTCACCCTGAGTGATGTCAAGGAAGGCATGGACCTTATGTTAAATTCCTAGGTTTTCTTAATTAATATTTTTTAAATATAAAATTATCGTTAAGAATGCAATATAAAGCTCCTGTTTTCTTTCTTTTGTAGGAAGTGGTGAAATAGTGAAGGATAAACTTGGTGAAATTTCAAAAGCTGCAGTTCTCTCAAATCTAACAACTATTGTTCAAGGACTGAAGACTATTCGGTCTGATCTTGACAACATAGATTCACTTTCTAAATCATTACAAAATCATGCCAAAGCACTTGAGATAGGTTTGTTAATTAATTAATTTTCTCTAATTTATTGTTATTTTAAAATATTTACAATTGTATTTTTAATGACATGTAAAATCAATCTTTTTTGTAATTCATTGACTATTAAAGAACAAATAAAATCTCCATTTTATTTTTTAACTGTATGCTTTTAAAATCATATTTGAAGTATACTCTTTAATTCAATTTAATGATTATTTTAGGTGGTTCTTGAATATTAATTATTATTTTTTTTTTTTAGCTTTAAATAATGTTCGAGAACAATTACTGGAGAAGTTGGCTATTTGTCGTCATGACAGAGCATGTATTGAATTTTTAAGCAATTATAATATTACAGCCTTAACGCTTGAAGCTAATTTCACTCAGGTACATTTTTTCTGTTTTATTTTTTTAATTTAGTAATGCTTGTATCTTGTTCTAATTTAATTTTTTGTTTTGCTTACAAAGTTGCTCGACAAATATCTTCCACAGGTAAACTCATTTTCTGTTACTAAATCTTTTGTACTTCAATAATCTAATTTTGTGTTATAGTATAGTAATTTTGATTTTTTTTTTAAAAACTTAATTGAGTTTCTAGTTGTCCTATTGTAGTTAAGCCCGTTTGGAGTTGAAGCTAATCATAAAAAATGTTTAATGTTTTAGAGTTTTATTAGTTAATTCAAGATTTCCTAAAAAATCTTGATCATCTCGCATTCATTGACTGTGCTTCCTATCAACTGGTGTTCCATTGATTTATTTTGACCCATAATGTAAACTAAAAGCTGAGGGTTATTTTAAACATGTGGGTACTAATCTCTGGTCAGTAAAATGATCAAATTAAAGAGTTAATTAAGGAACTGACCAGTAGAGATAGGCAGTATTCTATTACTTTCATGATTTGAGTACTTTTATTAGGAAAAAGTAGCGAGTAGCTCTGTACTCGGCCCGACTGCTGCAAGTGCTGAGTGTACTCGTGCTGCATTAATCATACATTAGTTAAGTACAGAAAGTACTTGCGGTGCTATATCCAACTACAGAAACTACTCTGCCGAATTCCTCTGAGTACTTTTTATTTTTTAACTACTACATCATTATTATGAGTATAGATATTTCCTTTTAATTCCTTAAATAATGGCATCCCTTATTAGGGTTATGTATGACCCACTTAATCAATATTAGGGTCCAATATTATATTGTCAGAGGTGCTTTTTATGAAAATGCTTTCGAATTTAAGAACGTGCTACCACACATCAAGTTTTTGTAACTTTAAGGATTTAATAGATACTAGGGTCCACTATTATGTTATTGATGACGCTTTTTCTGAAAATACCGTCGGATTAGAAAATGCACAACGGCGCATCATGTTTTAGCAACTTTTCAGAAAGTATTATCATAAAAAGCACTCCTAACAACAAATAGTGAACCGTAATATCCTTTAACTCCTAAAAATAACTAAAACGTGATGCACAATTGTGGAATCTTAAATCCGATAATATTTTCATAAAAAGCGTCCCCTACAACATAATAGTGGACTCTAATATCCTATATATTATTTCTAAAAGGTGTTGTTTTGTCGGTACGCCATAACTTCGTCAATACTTCTTCAAATCCAATGAGACAAACAAAACAAATCCAAACAGACAGAAAGAGAGCATCCTGGGCTGAGACGAGTGGAGAGTGGGGGTTGCATCCTTCGCTTCACTTTATTTCTAACTTCAATATCTATATAAAATATCTTTATATATTGTAATGTACACCTTTATTGGAATTGAGTAAAAAGGATTTAATAAATTAATGTTGAACAATTAAAAGGCAAGCTAATCTAGTTCCACTAGTGCAGGGAAAAGAATATGAATGCTCTGTAGTTTTTCCAAAAGGGAAAATCCCAAGGAGGGGATGGAACAAAGGTATTTGTTTTGTCCAGCAGTTGTTTGACTGCAGTGAAGAGAGGATAGGAGAAGTGATCCTGGCTCCAGTGGGTAAAAAACAGTACTAGTATTATCACCTTGGAATTTGTTGTTTGGCTGAGAGACTAGTTGTTGGAATCACAAGAGAGAGGATATCCCAAGGAGCTTGAGTTGAGTAGAAGAAAGTATCACCAATTTGGAAGTTGTGTTTAGCAGAACTTTGGAAAGTGTTTGAAAACAAATGAATTCAATGCCACATTGTATATAAAAGGTTAGCTTGTCAATCCATATTGGACTTTATTTTAAAATCAAACAGTGTTTAGTATAGTTAATTTTAGTTTGTCTGAGTTGATCTGATTGTCACTAACCCACACCTGAGATAAATAAATATATTAATTCTCTGATAATTTTGTTTATTATTACACAACCTCTTATTTATTTAGGAAATATCCCAATAGTGAGAAGTGAGGTTCCGAGGTTATATTATTATTATTATTCGTAAAATATAAGAGAGATGTTATAATATAACATCGCCAACTGAACTTTGTATACCAAGTGATTGTTTTTAAGAGTTTTTCAATCCGTTTTCTTTTCTCCATAAAAACCCAAATTACTCTAAAAGTTCTGGAGCAAGGGTCCAAAATTTGACTTGATCACAGGTGAAGGTTTGGTTGTAAATTATAAAGGTGTGTGTTATTCTGAGTAAAAAGAACATTATCTGTCAATCCAGATCCGCTGGTTTCAAAAATGGCAGCTGGTTTAAAGAATATAAGGCCAGTAATTTGAGGATAGGAACAGGCAATCCATTGCGAAAAATGTGAGAAAAGTTTTTATTTTTTAAACTTTTAGATGTGGGTTTAGACATGTTAAAAAAAAAAAAATTGCTAGAGTGGGCTACCAAGGGAAAACTTTTACAGCTAGTCTGATTTTTTTGATATATTTTTGTTTTTTCCCCTGTAACTCCTAAATGATGCATCGAAAGCGAAAAATGTACCCTTTAAGAAATTAAATAACGTTGAATTGTGTGTCGAAGGTAAACCTTAGCCTAAGAAATAATTTGGTTAAGTGGTATGTTAGAAAACTGCAGTCAACGAACTCTGATTTTTACCTAATTTGCCAAAAATCCAGTCAAATTACTATAAATGGCCCTATAGCTTGGAAATGAGTTCCTTAAGAGGAAAAATCCATATTATCAAGATAGTAGATCATAAATTTTTGCTTCCACTGAGTACCACTATTTTAATTTAGGTCACTTACTCCAAATAAAATCAATAATCTCCCGATGGTTAGAAATTGGTAATGCAGATTTTCAATATTTCAACAGTATGGGTGTCTATTCTACTGAGCTACTTTTGTTTATAATATGTTACATGCAGTATACCTGCATTCTCCACCTCTCAGCATCGAAGGATTTTGATAAACGAATGTCGCTCACACCCTCGAATTTGATGAACGAGTGTGTCGAAAGATAACAAATTTTATAAAGAAATAACAAATCCTGATTCGAGATATATAATTGGCCTACAACAAAAATGTCAGTACTCAGTGGACACAAAATTTGATGCTCTATAACTTTGATTCTATAGGCTTTTCCTCTTAGGGAACGCATTTCCAAGTTACAGGGCCATTTATAGTAATTTGTCTCAGTTTTTGACAAATTTGGTAAAAAAAAGCATTGGTTGACCATGGTTTTATATCTTACCACGTAACCAAATTATTAAGTTTATGAATTCATTCGACGCACAATATAGCATTCTGTAATTTCTTAAAGTATACATTTTTCGCTTCGATGCTTCATTTAGGAGTTATAGGTGAAAAAGCAAAAAAAAAAATATCGAAAAAATCAGACTTTTTTGGGAATAAAAAGTTTTTCTTTGGTGGCCTGCATTAGCAGTACTGTTTTTTACATGTCCAAACCCATATATAAAAGTTAAAAAAATAAAAACTTTTCTCACAATTTATGCAATGGATTTCCTGTTCCAATCCTCAAGTTACTGGCCTAATATTCTTTAAATCAGCCACCATTTTCTAAAGCAGCAGCTCTGAAATGGCAGATAAGGTTTTTTTTTACTCAGAATAACACACTGTCGTTATTTATAATCAAACTTTCACCTGCGATCAGGTCGATTTTTGAGTCCTGGCTCTAGGGCCATAACCATTAATTCCAATTTACTGATGATTTCTGAACTTTTGTTGCCTCTTTCGGAATCTGCCTTGAATTTCATATAAGAAATCCACAAATTAAAAGGAAAATGATCAAGTAATAAAGTAAAAATGAATAATTTTCAGAAATACTTGGTGGGATATCATTCACTCAATGAACTGTAAAGCTAAGTTTTGTGGATTTCAAAAAAGTTGCTTCATTCAATGTAGTTTCAAGCTATTTGAAAGTATTACTAACAATGGGTTACTAATGTATTTGCACAGCATTGCGTTGTCCGACAACCTGATGGAAGATAATATGATAAAATAATTAGGAGTTCGTGTCCTGGTGCCAGGAAAAATCTGGTTTTTTATGGTGGAAAAAAATGTGCTTTCTTGAAAAAAATTTTAAATCATCATACTTCGATAACCTGTTGAGATGGGAAGGTCCAGCCTGATGGTACTACACTACATTTTTTGTAGACTATTCCTTATCCAATTACTGAGATTTTTTCCTGGAATATTCTTTTCTATATTCAATTAAAATATTTTTTTTTATATTTATAACTGTTTTAAATAAACAATAAACTATGGTGTCTTAATTGTTGTTTTTCAGTTCTCTGTCCCATGTCTAATAATTTAATAGTTATTCTCCACTTTGGAAAATACTTTACTCTCTTCTTTGAAGGTACAACATATTCTTGAAGAAGTTAGGCTATTTTACTGTGTGCTAGTTGTAGATACTGAGACCTGTCTTAACAAGGCCTGAAAAAAATACTTCATTTCAAGTTTTGTATTTTTCATTTTTATAGACTTACTTCTCAGTTGATAAATTTTATAAAATTTCTTTGTCCTAAATATAATACGGGGACGGTCATCGTCTCGAACCCTTAGGTTTGAGTCATGTCCCTCATTGACTGCGGAGGTGCAGGCATCCTCCTGTACATTGGCAGGCAATGTAAAGCCGTAGCGATCGTAAGATTGCGGAGCCTGAGACCAATCGTGCTCTGAGGTCAGGGAAGCAGTGCTTCCCGACCAAATTGGTACTACGGGGCGTCGCCGGAGCTCCGGCGGCGCTTTGGGTGGACGGTGAGAGTGCTTGCACTGTTCGGCCATGGCGGTCGTAATGGTCGATGTGTTTACGACCACTCGCTGCACGAAACCAGTGTTCAGCTAGTCTTGACGTTGTTCAGGCTAACTTCTGGTATAATGTGTGGACGAGTGGACGGAAGCTATGGTAGTAGAGTTTGTCGTTTCCGTGGGCACTGGTTGTGTGCCTGCATCCTTCTTGGACATACCCGGTCCAGAGAGTTAGGTTGGAGGCCGGTTAAGGCTCGCGCTAGGTATGACTTCCAACCGATGCTCCCTTGGTCATAGTGTACCCCGCTATACACTGTCCTAAATATAATGTCATATTTATTCTTTCATAGAGTTAAATTGAAAATATAAAAATATCTCTTTAAATTCAGGTAATAAAATTATTTTCTATTAAATTAGAAGGAGAACTAATTTTGAAATATTACAGCTTGGATTTGATGAATCATCCAATATACATTAGTAGACATATGGAATGTAAACTAATTGTAAGAGGCAACTCGTAATTCTAAAATTTTACTGAAACATGCGAAAAAAAAAAACAACCCCAAATAAACTACAAAAAACTAAAAATGTTTGCCATTGATTAAATAAATGACTACCTTTTATTATTTTACCATCGCCTATTAACTAATTTATGCAATTATTTACTTGTTCATATCTTGATAAATGCAGTTAATAACATCTTTAAATACTTAATAAAATATTATCAATGAAAACATATCCTTCTTTCTTCATCCTATAATTAATTGTTTTGACATCCTTTGTGTTTTTCACATAATAGTAATAATATGATTATATATTTTTGCAGCTTCCTGATGTGACTTTAAGCCTTCAAAATGTAACAGGACTCCTAGCCAACGATATAGAAAATGAAGTTATAAAAGGCCGTGATCAATTTGATAAAATTAAACTTAACATTCAACGCTCTGTGGACAGAACGATACCTGATATAGTTCGAGAAATAAGTAAAGCAGGTAACTTGTCATATATATATATATATATTGTTCTGATATTGTATTTCTTCTTGTTTATTCATCATTCTGTTGAAATCTTCATTTGATTTTCTATTTTCTTCTAGTTTGAAATTAGGTGAATTCAAACTTTGCTTCATCTTCATCTTTTATTTCGTTTATTAGGTTGCTGTCATAATCTTCTACTAATTTTTTTTAATCTTCTTTCATTTCAATTCTATTTTCGCCTAGTTTATTATCCAAATTTTTTTATAGTTGATTTATGTTTTGTTTACATTGAAATGTTACTTTCTTTGTTAATTCTATTATTTCTTTTCTATTTTCTTCTAGTTGGATATTAATTAAATTTACTATACTATTATTTTCTTCTGTTGATTTTTTAATATATTTTATTTCTTTTCTACTTTCTTCTATTCTATTTATTTATTTGTTGAAATCATCTGTCCATTTCTTGCTATTTTCTTCCATTAGTTTTTTATTTTCTTCTTTGCTATTCATTAATTATTTGATATCTTCTGTCAATTTCCTGTTGTTTTCTTTCATTTCATTTAACGAAGCAAACAATGTGTTCATTTAGTACTATATGGTTATTCATTATACCTAGTTCTGCCATAAATATTGTTACAAAAGTTAAACTTTGTTTACATCCTTGGGTATTATTTAGATAATTCTTACATCTATCAGGTTATTTTCTTTACATGTCAGGATCACAATCCCAATTAGTTTGTATTTTTCTTTTGCTCCTACACTAAGTTCGAAAATGTAGGCCAGTGATTTTCAATATTTTGAAACCTTTGGGTATCAGCCGTATGTTCGTGGACCGCACTATAAATAGATATAATGTGACAGACCTCGAACGAATTGGGCCGTCCCCGCACTGTGTGAACAGTAAATGCAATGAGAGTAGTAGTTACTCGAATCAGAAGAAATCTCATTCATTCGAAAACAACAAATCATGTCTCGAGAAATGGAAATCTCTGTCAGATCAATGTCTCGCATAATAAAAAGTGACCTTAGGATGGGTGCATTTCGAAGAATGACAGGAAAAAGGCTAACCAATTCCATTAAAAAAAATTAGACTGGATAGATGCAAAGTGCTCCTTTTGGCTGTTACACCAATGGTCTTCATCGAAAGATTTAGTTTAGTGATGAGAAAATTTTTGCAAATGAAGAAAAATTTAATCGCCAAAATGATCGTGTGTACACTCACAGCTCTAAAGAAGTCCAGAAAGTCATTAGAAGAGTGGAAAGAGGTCATTATCCTTCCTCAGTGATGTTTTAGTGGTGAGTTTGCTTTGGCACCACAAAGCGCCATTTTTGTGAAAAAGGAGTTAAAACAGCTGCTAAAAACTAACAGAACGATATTTTGGAACCTGGTGTCAAGCCTTTAAATGAAACTCTGTTTGCTGGAAGTCATTGGGTTTCCGAACAGGATTCCACTCCAGTTCACAAAGCCAGGTCAACTCAGCAGTGGCTGCAAAAGAACATTCCAGAGTTCATCTCTGTCTCAGATTGGCCCTCAGGAAGCTCTGATCTCAACCTACTGGATTATCAGCTTTGGTCCGAACTGGAGAGGATGGCATGCCACAGAGCACACCCTAACTTGGAAAGCCTGAAACAATCTCTGGTCCAAGCAGTTGTGCGCTTTCCTCAAGAAGTGTTGCATGCTGCTATTGATGACTAACCACGGAGATTTAATGCTTGTGTTGAGGCAAAAGAGTGACATTTTGAGTAATTTCTTTTTTGTTTTACTCTCTATAGATATACATTTTATTGTCTAATAAAGTTTTTGAAAAACTTAATTTTTCTGTTGTGACAATTAATCTATATATTTCCTTGTAACAATATTTATGACAGGACTAGGTATATTATCTTTTATTTTATTCTCCTTTAGTTTTCTCCTATCAATCTATGTCTTAGGATATAGATTATGTCTGACGTTTCTTATGTTTACAATACTATTATAAGTATTCATTTGAACATATTAAGATACAAATGTAAATCATTTATTGTAAATATTTATTTTTTTATTATTATTTGTTTCATTACTACAGTGGTTTGACAACAAAAGTAATTTATTGTTCTTTTCTGATTTCATTTAGTTATTTCATACTTTGTTGTTTGTAGCAACTATTTTGCAGTATTGTGACCTTATTGCTCATCTTTTTTTCTTTTATATAATCTGTATAGGTATGTAAATACTTCTCTTATTACATATGTTTTAGTTATTCTTTTATTGTAATATGTATTTTGGCCAGATGTAATGTTATTTTTTATGATTAAGGGACTTTGTCCCAGAATCAAGTTGATTCTTCTATTCTAATCTATTCTATATCTTGCATGGGATACTTAGTATAGATTCCTCTACGGTTTTCGTATTTTCAGTTATTATAATTTTTAAAAATTGGTACAATGATTAAAATCTCCCAATCCTCTGGTATACTCTCTCCAGATTAGGTAGGTTAATAAAATAGAGAAGAAATTACTCTACTTACTGGTTTTTCATATTTTGTAGTGCTCCCTCCAACTCTTCTTCTATAAATTCCTCCTTCTCCCAAATTCTCTCCCATTGGATGTTACCATTATAGCCCTGGAGCCAGGGCCAAAAAATGGACCTCATCGCAGGTTAAGAATTGAATGTAAATCATGAAAGTGTATAATAGTTTAATTAAAATGAGCTTTGTCTGCCATTCCATAGCCGCTGCTTTCGAAAAAAGGCGACCATGCTAAGAGGTCCAAATTTATACCGTATATGGGCCACATTGCAGGCTAAATGAAACTTCGATAGATGAATCTTTTTACAATGAATCATCATTTTTGAGCAGTCTGCTGTTTCTGTACTGCTGCTTTCCATTGGCAGACTTAATTTAAAAAATTGCAACTTTAGGGCAATAAATTTACGAATCTTAGGAATCTTGAAATTATAACTACTATGAATGTTTTTTGATGAATGTTTAATGTTTAATGTTTATGAATGTTTAATGTTTTGTGATAAAAATAAGAAAGAACCTTGTCTGCCTTCATTAGGCCGCAGCAATCTACTGGCAGACCAGACTCTAATTGAAAACTCACAATTTTGGGTGTAAACATTTATTTAAGTTAGGAGATTTGAAAATAAGCTATATGATACTTATATATTAACAGTTGAATAAAAACGTAATTTGCCTATGATAGACCATGGCAATCAATCTACTGGCAGACTCTAATTACAAAATTGTAATTTTAGGCTTAAATATTTATTAAAGTTAGGAGGTTTGAAACTTCGCTATATGATACTTATATATTAGCCGTTAAATAAAAACTGATTATGTTTATAGACTGCATCCATCTACTAGCAGACTCAAATTCAAAAACTTAATTTTAGGTGTAAAAATTAACCAAAGTTAGGAGTCTCGAATTTTCCCTTCTTACTAATAGTTCATTAAAAATGAAGTTTGCCATCCAAAGGCTGTTGCTTTCAGTAGGCAGAGTGAGCTTGAATATAAGAAGCTATAGCAAAAAAAAGATTGAAGTGTCACGTGATCACTTATAATGAATCATTTATTATTCGGTTGTTCGATCTTCAACCTGTGAAGACAAACAACTGTTTTTTTTTTAGATAAATAAATACATTTTAAAAACTTTAAAATGATAAGTATATATATATATATATATATATATTTTTTTTTTTTTTTTTTTTTTTTATTTGATTAATATCAGTAGACTAGACGACTATTTCCACATCCATTTACTACTTTTGTAGTTTCTTATTTCATTTTATAAGGTTTCTGCAGCGTCTAAGCTAGATGAACCACTCATGTTATTGTGGACATGGGTGCATGTTGTGCTACAGGATAGGTTTAAAAACGAATATTTTTTACAAAATGAGCAGATGTATGATAAAATATGCTTCAATTTGTCTGTACTAATTACCTCACCGGTATTCCACAACGTTAATTAAAGAGTGTAATTCTAAAATATAATCAAACAATAGGAAATTGATTTATTAAATATCTAAAGAATACTTTAAACAAATTGTAAATTATTTTTGTAATAATATTCTCTTTTCTGAGATTTAGTTAAGTAAGATGGGAAAAATAGAAAAACAACTAAGTCTTCATAAGTAAATAACACAAATAAATTTATATATATATATATATATATATATATATATATATATTTTTATAACCACACTAATATTGTAAAAATCAAAATTTAAATATCTTTAACGAATGTTTTTACATGACATATATATATATATATATATATATAAGATAAAGACCGGAGACTGGCGATATCAGCCTTAATGCCATCCTGGAATGTAAATAAACATAAGAAATGTATATAAATAGGATTACTGAATGAATAAAGCAGTGTCTATTCAGAAGCCGTGAGTGTTGCATCTCAACCCCTTTCCTTTCTTTTTTTTATTGTTAAAGTCCGCCGACGCTTAACTGGTGCCGAAACCCGAGAATACGTCAGGAGAACAGAGAAGTAATTTTTTTTAAGTTCATTTTTTTTCTCGTTTTTTTACAAAGTACAACCGCATAACTGAGAAAATGCGCAAAACCATGAGTGTGGGAGAGGTCGAAGCCAGGATGGAGTTGTCGACGATACTCAAGGTCCAGCTGGCTAAGGAAACGGGGAGGAGAGACTGACTGCCCAGAGAGAGATCATTCCTCGAGTGTGCCCAGGAAATGATCGATCTGAGCGCAAGAGAGGAAGAGACACGGATGGATGTGGAAGAACCACGGTGGATCCGGGTGAATGACAGACGACCCCGGACAGCCCCAATGGGTTGGAAGAAGAGGGAAACGAGACAACCGAATGGAGAAAAGGCCGTGACGGGCGAAAGAAGATCCGGACAGTCGAGGCCGAGGAATGGACCCCGGAGGGAAGATAGAAAATGTCATGGGTGTGGAAAGCCAGGACATTTGGTAGCACAATGTCCGCGCTCTAGATGTTTTGAGCTCGGGACTGAAGGGCATATTGCGAGGCAGTGCCCATACATGTTTCGGAGGAGA